CTTCTTTGTGTTCTGCATTGGTCCATGTCCACCTTTTTTCATCCAGTGGCAATACACAGAGCATGACTCTACCGGGAGAGGTGCCTGCTGTTAGATCATTATCGCAACGAGTACACACAAAACCCTTCAAAAGGAAAACACAGTCTTTGCAGAAGAAAACGAAAATCTATAAATCTGCAGCAGGAGAAGAGGACACCAACTTGGCACATTTAAAATTCTTCACTACTGCACAGCAGAAGGACAGGGGAGGTGAATTATGCATTACAAGGGAATAATGGGCACATTAACAAAATGTCGCTGCAGGCAAATCCTTAACAAGTTGGAAAGTTTCTTTTTTAATCTTGGCTTCCAGGTTACATTTAAAGCAGCGGCTAGATGTCAATGAGCCAAAACGCTCTCAGTGATGAGTTTGTGTGTCCATCAACAAGCGCCAGGAGAGACCAAGCATAGTTATTTCAGAGGTTACCAGCAGCAACAGCAAACTAAATGCAAGGCAAAGAAAGGTCGATTACATGAAATTTCTTTCAAGCCTTTTTTTAAAATACATGACCTGCAAAAAGGTGCAGAGGCCCTTTCCTCACATCGATCAGGTAAGGCTAAGAAAGGTTTGGGACTCCAGTGTTTGTGTTTGTTAAAGCTGCTTTAATGCGTTACTTTTCCTTCTTTCCGTTTCCCATGATCCATGACGTCAAGAGTAAATCTTAAAATACAAGTGAAAAGTAAATCTTGGTAAGTTGGGTTTCACTTTAAGACGTAAAGTATTGTCATTGTCGCAGAATAAAGATTACTGTAATTGGCGTAAACAGTTTCTTAATACTCTCAACACGTCTGTAAAACTGGGGCCGATTCTCAAATCTTACTTATAACGGTCATGTTCCCTGTCGTTACAGTTTCGGTCTTTATTTAAAATGCTCTCTGTCAAATGAACTGATCGGTTAAGTAACAGTTTGAATGACCTGCACTTAAAAAACTACATACAGGCACCTGTTATGTCATAGACTTACTGTTTGGATAGCAACAGTAATATGTATACTTGTTCATGTGGTTAATCTGATGCCCCAATCAGATTTGGGCTTCACCGCCCTCTTTTCTATAAACTCAGTACATTTCCACTCACTCTGCTTCCCGTTCTGTGGATCTCTCCTGCTAGAAAAGTAAAAAAATGTAAGAGTTTCATTAGCACTGTGGAATTTATTAAGCCACTCTACAGCATTTATTACTTTACCTGAATTATGCATATAAACGTACATTTTAAAAAACATTTTCCCCTGATGTTCCCACCCCCGCGCCCAGGTTAACATGCAGGCACTGAATGCATTTAGCACGTTTGCTGTGTTTGTGTGTTTTTCAGCCCCACCCCTTTGGTCCGTCTGGCCAGACCTCACTTTCATTCACCAGAAAGAAAGTAGAGGACGGTCTGAGATTCCAGGCATACCTGCAACCCTCTGAGCCCCTACTACCTCCTCCCCACAGCTCTGGTGGTGTCCTCACAGGGCTCATCAGGGGAAACGAAGGGGGAACCACAGAAAGATTTGACTGCTGCCCTGGGTTCAGTTTGCCTTTATATCACAATCAACTTATTATAAGCCTAAATAATCAGTAAGTGCGGTAAGGTACACACTCTTATCTTTGGCCAGACAGTGGTAGGAATCATGACTTCGATGGCAGACAAATGGATGGTAAAGAATTTTTCTCCTTGTTTTTTAAAGGTGTTACGTTTATTTTTTATAATTATTATTCAGGAAATGCCACAAATCTCTTTCACTAAGCCTGTTCTGGTGCACAGATAGTTCACGATACTGTGTGCCTCAAAGCCCATAGCAGCTTTGCAAAGTTCCAGACAAACATGGCACCATCACTTTTGGTAATCAGCAAACAAGGCATCGACCCTGGGCAAACCCATTAAAGCACTACTGGGAGTGCCAGCAGGAAACTCATCCAAAACTGCAGTCCAGAGCCAGAACCACAACTGATGAGACCAGCATTTCTAAACTTAGGTGACATGCGTCTGGATCTGCGTAAGTCAACACAGAAGTACACATGCGAGAAGAACACACAAACACAAGCACAGACTTACCCCTTGCTTAGACACCGGAATGTGCACAGTCTTTCTAAAAAGATGTTTTATACCCCTTGAATTAATGAGACTAACCGTGTTCTGCCACTGTCTGTGCAGCCAGCATTCAGAGATTGATGAATGGGCAAACAAGTAACTGTTTCAATATTAGTGTAATATTTACATCAGTTTGGTCAGTAATGGTTATATATATTTAGTGTCTGCTGACCATTCACAA